CTACAATACACACACCACCCTACAATACACACACCACCCTACAATACACACACCACCCTACAATACACACACCACCCTACAATACACACACCGTCCTACAATACACACACCACCCTACAATACACACACCACCCTACAATACACACACCGTCCTACAATACACACACCACCCTACAATACACACACCACCCTACAATACACACACCGTCCTACAATACACACACCACCCTACAATACACACACCGTCCTACAATACACACACCACCCTACAATACACACACCACCCTACAATACACACACCGTCCTACAATACACACACCACCCTACAATACACACACCGTCGTACAATACACACACCACCCTACAATACACACACCACCCTACAATACACACACCACCCTACAATACACACACCACCCTACAATACACACACCGCCCTACAATACACACACCGCCCTACAATACACACACCACCCTACAATACACACACCGCCCTACAATACACACACCGTCCTACAATACACACACCACCCTACAATACACACACCACCCTACAATACACACACCACCCTACAATACACACACCACCCTACAATACACACACCACCCTACAATACACACACCACCCTACAATACACACACCACCCTACAATACACACACCGCCCTACAATACACACACCACCCTACAATACACACACCACCCTACAATACACACACCGCCCTACAATACACACACCACCCTACAATACACACACCACCCTACAATACACACACCACCCTACAATACACACACCGCCCTACAATATACACACCACCCTACAATACACACACCGCCCTACAATACACACACCGTCCTACAATACACACACCACCCTACAATACACACACCACCCTACAATACACACACCACCCTACAATACACACACCACCCTACAATACACACACCACCCTACAATACACACACCACCCTACAATACACACACCACCCTACAATACACACACCGCCCTACAATACACACACCACCCTACAATACACACACCACCCTACAATACACACACCGCCCTACAAAACACACACCACCCTACACTACACCACACCGCCCTACACAACACCACACCACCCTACAATACACACACCACCCTACAATACACACACCGCCCTACAATACACACACCACCCTACAATACACACACCACCCTACAATACACACACCGCCCTACAATACACACACCGTCCTACAATACACACACCACCCTACAATACACACACCACCCTACAATACACACACCACCCTACAATACACACACCACCCTACAATACACACACCACCCTACAATACACACACCGCCCTACAATACACACACCACCCTACAATACACACACCACCCTACAATACACACACCGCCCTACAATACACACACCACCCTACAATACACACACCACCCTACAATACACACACCCGCCCTACAATACACACACCACCCTACAATACACACACCACCCTACAATACACACACCGCCCTACAATACACACACCACCCTACAATACACACACCGTCCTACAATACACACACCACCCTACAATACACACACCGCCCTACAATACACACACCACCCTACAATACACACACCACCCTACAATACACACACCGCCCTACAATACACACACCACCCTACAATACACACACCGTCCTACAATACACACACCACCCTACAATACACACACCGCCCTACAGTACACACACCACCCTACAATACACACACCACCCTACAATACACACACCACCCTACAATACACACACCACCCTACAATACACACACCGCCCTACAATACATAACCTCAATATAACTCCCGCCAAAGCGGCCATTTCCCACAACATTATGAACTACATGTGTGTGGCCAGACATGTCCTGACCGTGTGTAATCCACACCTGCCACAGGGTTATACACTTCACGTGGCACAGGGCCACACCTCACCTGCCACAGGGTTATACACTTCACGTGGCACAGGGCCACACCTCACGTGGCACAGGGCCACACCTCACGTGGCACAGGGCCACACCTCACGTGGCACAGGGCCACACCTCACGTGGCACAGGGCCACACTTCACGTGGCACAGGGCCACACCTCACGTGGCACAGGGCCACACCTCACGTGGCACAGGGCCACACCTCACGTGGCACAGGGCCACACCTCACGTGGCACAGGGCCACACCTCACGTGGCACAGGGCCACACCTCACGTGGCACAGGGCCACACCTCACGTGGCACAGGGCCACACCTCACGTGGCACAGGGCCACACTTCACGTGGCACAGGGCCACACCTCACGTGGCACAGGGCCACACCTCACGTGGCACAGGGCCACACCTCACGTGGCACAGGGCCACACCTCACGTGGCACAGGGCCACACCTCACGTGGCACAGGGCCACACCTCACGTGGCACAGGGCCACACCTCACGTGGCACAGGGCCACACCTCACGTGGCACAGGGCCACGGGTTACTTGTACCGTCATTAAACACACTACAGACTTTATTTTCGGGGAAATTGCTCTGTTTTAACACCTAGTTAGCATTCTGCGTGTGTGTGTACTCACCTAGTTGTGCTTGCGGGGGTTGAGCTTTGTCTCTTTGGTCCCGCCTCTCAACTGTCAATCAAATGGTGAACATTCCTGAGCCTACTGGGCTCTATCGTATCTACACTTGAAACTGTGTATAGAGTCAGCCTCCACCACATCACTGCCTAATGCATTCCATTTGTTAACTACTCTGACACTGAAAAAATTCTTTCTAATGTCTCTGTGGCTTATTTTGGGTACTAGGTTTCCACCTGTGCCGCCTTGACCGTGTTCCACCTGTGCTGAAGAGTTTGTCTTTGTCCACTCTGTCAATTCTCCTGAGAATTTTGTAGGTGGTTATCATGTCTCCCCTTACTCTTTTGTTTTCCAGGGGCGTGAGGTTTAGCTCCTGTATCCTTTCCTCGTAACTCATGTTTCTTAGTTCTGGGACTAGTCAAGTGGCGTATCTCTGAATCTTCTCTAACTTTGTTTTGTGTTTAACTAGGTATGGTATGGACTCCAGGCTTGAGCTGCATACTCCAGGATTGGTCTGATATAAGTGGTATACAGGGTCCTGAACGATTCATTACACAAGTTTCTAATGGCAGTTCTTATGTTGGCCACTGTAGCATATGCTGCTGATGATATCCTTTTTGATGTGGGCCTCTGGGCACAGGTTCGGTGTGATGTCAACCCCCAGATCTTTCTCTATTTGTCTCTTGCAGGATTTCACCTCCCAGATGGTACCTTATGTTCAGCCTCCTCCTCCATATATATGTGTGTGTGCGTGTGTGTGTGTGTGTGTGTGTGTGTGTGTGTGTGTGTGTGTGTGTGTGTGTGTGTGTGTGTGTGTGTGTGTGTGTGTGTGTGTGTGTGTGTGTGTGTGTGTGTGTGTGTGTGTGTGCTCATCCAAGTATTCATGCAGTGTCGAGTGTCAGCTCTCAAGCCGCGCCTTTACCTTGACAATTATTGACTAAATTATCTGCCAAACCATCACTGATCCAAACGAACACATCCGCTTAAGAACACAGGACCCACACCCAGGAGAACACACTTTTAGGCTTCCAAAAGTGCTGGGAAAGTGAGAGTGCGAGTAAGAGCAACTGTGGCTGTGGTGAAGGTGACACTACTTGCCGACACGTACCTCTCAAGCACGGGGTAAAGTGTAGGAAATTAGAATTCCATCACTGGTAGCTTTAGCGCTGATGCCTCGGGTATAGTCACTGAGAGAGAGAGAGAGAGTGAGAGTGAGAGTGAGAGTGAGAGAGAGAGAGAGAGAGAGAGAGAGAGTGAGAGAGAGAGAGAGAGAGAGAGAGAGAGAGAGAGAGAGAGAGAGATGAGAGAGTGAGAGAGAGAGAGAGAGAGAGAGAGAGAGAGCGAGAGAGAGAGAGAGAGGGAGAGAGAGGAGAGGAGAGAGGAGAGGGAGTGAGAGAGAGAGAGAGAGAGAGAGAGAGAGAGAGAGAAGAGTGAGAGAGAGAGAGAGAGAGAGAGAGAGAGAGAGAGAGAGAGAGAGAGAGAGAGAGAGAGAGAGAGTGAGAGAGAGAGAGAGAGAGCGAGGAGAGAGAGAGAGAGAGAGAGAGAGAGAGAGAGAGAGAGAGAGAGAGAGAGAGAGAGAGAGAGGAGAGAGATGAGAGAGAGAGAGAGAGGAGAGAGAGTGAGAGAGAGAGAGAGAGAGAGAGAGAGAGAGAGAGAGAGAGAGAGAGAGAGAGAGAGAGAGAGAGAGAGAGAGAGAGAGAGAGAGAGAGAGAGAGAGAGAGAGAGAGAGAGAGACAGACAGACAGAGAGAGAGAGAGAGAGAGACAGACAGACAGAGAGAGAGAGAGACAAACAGAGAGAGAGAGAGAGAGCGGTGTGTATCAACACGCTACTCCTGACTCCACACTGGGAACACTAATTAAAACTTCACGCTGTCCTGTTAGCACAAAGGACCAGCGCTGTCTTCTGTCTTCTTTGCACCTGGCGGGAGCGGCGGCCGACCTCACTACCTGTGCTCACAACACTGCTCACTTCCTCGGAAACACACAAATTATAGAAAGAATAAGACAGACACAAGCAAGGCCATGGTAACAGACACAGGCAAGGCCATGGTAACAGACACAAGCAAGGCCATGGTAACAGACACAGGCAAGGCCATGGTAACAGACACAGGCAAGGCCATGGTAACAGACACAGGCAAGGCCATGGTAACAGACACAGGCAAGGCCATGGTAACAGACACAGGCAAGGCCATGGTAACAGACACAGGCAAGGCCATGGTAACAAACAAACACAGGCTTGGCACGTGGATGGAAAAATAAAATCACGAAAAGAGAAAGGCATAAACAGAGAGACATTTGCAAGTCAATCAACACAGAGGATCGCATATATGAGAGATAAAGCATGGTATCTCAACCACCATATCTGAATGTGGATTTGTTGACATACGCCGCCATGCCTTTACACGAACTTACGCATTCCGTCTCTGACGCAGCCATACGCCATCCGTCTCTGACGCAGACATATGCCATCTGCCCTGACGCAGTCATACGCCATCCGTCTATGACGCAGGGTCCTTTATGTGTTCCATAAATGTCTCGGTGTCAAAGCATTTACACAGACTTTACACTCAGACATGCCATTGTTTGAGTAAACTCTCACTTCCCTCCACAGCACGACCTCTTGTCCACTGCGGCAAGGAGGCTATAGTCGGTATAGCTCTTATATATAGTCGGTATAGCTCTTATATATAGTCGGTATAGCTCTTATATATATAGTCGATATAGCTCTTATATATAGTCGGTATAGCTCTTATATATAGTCGGTATAGCTCTTATATAGAGTCGGTATAGCTCTTGGCTACACCCTGCACCAACAACCCCCTCACACGCCCTCAGACATCAATAGGCTCCATTAAGACGTGTGGTGACTCTCCCACATCGTCTAACAAAGCCGCCATTCCCCCACATGTGGGGGAATTGTCTTCGGGAAGGCCACGAACTCGTATGAATAGCACGCACCGAGAATATCACAATATGGCTATCGTTAAATCTTGCGGCGCTACTAGAATAATAGCCATTTTGGAAGTGTGTCGTAGAGCTTCGGTTGAGCGCGGCTGTTCCATACTGTGGTTGTGCATTAGAATGAGCTTCAGAGAGCCCGTTCACCCTATGGGCTTTCGCATTAATGTTATCGAGCTCTTTGCAGATTGGCTAACATTTCACCTCGACCAATCATAGCTCGCCATGATATCATGTCCCTATTGGTCTAGACACATCACATGATACATCAATGTAAAGGACGCCAGGGTCCCATTGAGCGCCGTGTATTCTCTCGATAAAAATATACAATTATACGAAGGAAATTATATCAGAATATAGTCCTATACCTATAAACATATAGTCCTATATGTTTATATATGAATATATATGAATATAGTTTATATGTCTATAAACATATAGTCCTATATGTTTACCTTGTAATAGTACTCACCTAGATGTGCTTGAAAGCATTCGCGTAATCTCCGAAGATCCGCGTTTCAACTAATTATTATTTATGGCACCCTGCATCGTGGTCACTTGCTCACGTAACTGAGGTTGTAGGTTGAGCTTCAGCTATGGGTCCTACCTTTTCAGTTATTGTTGTTGTAGATTCGCTACCTGGAACAAAAAGTTCCAAGTAGCACGGGCTATGGTGAGCCCGTAGTCAGTTGATGCTTATGTATTAAATGAACTGGGATATTCTCACAATGTCTGTCATATCTACTCTGTAAATTTCTGAATGGAGTAGATTATTACACCCGTGTCCCCCGAGTTCTACTGCTGGTGCTTACAGCAGTAGAACGTAGTTGGTCCACACACACACACACACACACACACACACACACACACACACACACACACACACACACACACACACACACACACACACACACACACACACACACACACACACACATACACACACACACACACACACACACATTCAGTAGGCGGGTACACAAAGACTTTATTTAACACAAGGGGCACACGCACTAGGGGACACAGGTGGAAATTGAGTGTCCAAATGAGCCATAGAGACATTAGAAAAAAATTGTTTAGTGTCAGATGGAATGCATTAGGAAGTGATGTGGTGGAGGCAGACTCCATACACAGTTTCAAATATAGATTTGATGGAGAGCCCAGTAGGCTCAGGAACCTATACACCAGTTAATTGACGTTTGAGAGGCGGAACTAAAAAGCCGAAGCTCAACCCCCGCAAGCTGAATTAGGTGAATACAACTAGGTGAGTACACACATACTTCCACTGTATGTATGTTCCCCGAGCCTACTGAGTGAGACTCCCGAGCGATAAGACTTCAGGTGCGACTAACTTTAAAATAAATGTTTCAGCACTTGCACAAAACTGCAACTTAAGCAATCAGCTTCACTACATGAAGCTGTATTCTAAACAAAAATAAAGGACAATTTTTTCCCAGATGTAGAGCAACTCCCAAGAAAGTAATTACTGCTTGCTGCCTCTCCCTTCTCCCTGAATATATTAATTATCAGTTCTCCCTTCTCCTCTCACTCTTCTCTTGTATACTTTTATTCTCGTTTTATTCCCAACTTTACTGTATATTTTCAGCTCCTCTCTGAATTCTCTTATTCTAGTGTTCTAGTTTACTATCTTTAGTATATTTCCCTTCAAATTTTATTGATTTTCTTCTGTATTGTTATTTATCATAGCCGCCTTTTCTTACACGTCTTCTCCAGCTTTACATTCCCTTGTCTCTAATTTCCTTTCATTTTCATTTTCTTTCTTTCTTCATTTCTTCCTCAATCTCTCATTTTCTTTTCTTTTTCCTCTCTTTTTAACATTCCTTCGTTCCCCTCTTCCTTCCTCTACTCTTATTCTCCCTCTCTTTTTTTCTCTATTCCTTCACCCCTCTTCTCCTCCATTCCTTTTGTTTCTCTTCCCGCTTCTCTAATTAATTAATAATCAACGACAGCTTGAATAGTATGCTTAAAGTGAGCAGAAGAAATGGAAAATAGAAAAATGGAGAACAGGAAATTAGAAGAAAAAAGAAACAGGAAATGGAAAAATGAAAGAAGGCACAGGAAACAGAAGAGGGAAGGTAAGAAACAGATAGACAGACAGAGCGAGGAAAAATATTTAGATTCAATTTTTTGTCCACCTAACTTCATTTGTTTTTTTAATTCCGCGCGCTTTGAGCTTAACCTTCAGTGTCATTACCGAACCCTGGCAGTCACAGTTGGGCTGAACAAGTACAGTCACACAATATGACGTGAGACATATCATGAGAAATATATAAAACTTTATATATATATTTCGACTTGAGAATGGTCCAGGACGGACCGAAACGTCGTCGTCCCTTCACTTTCTAGTGTGTGGTTTGGTCCACATATAAAACTTTAGCGAATGAGACACATATGAAGGCAAATATGAAACAATCAAACGCTGTAGATGTTTATGGGACTATTTTAGCAGAATATTTAAGTTGAACAACTCTAAATTTTCAATTGATGAGAAATTTAGAATTTAGAATATTTTAGATTGCGCAATAGGTACATAGTCGTCTCAATGTGACGGATGCGACGTGTTAGTCAAACGAACAAAAATCAATCATCATAATACTGGCGTGTTCTATACATCGGCCACGGCAAGGTGGGTTGTGTGGGTTGGTACGTCTCTTGGTAGGCAAACCAGTTGTATGTTTACATAGTGGCAAGGTGAGAGAACTGGCTTGTTATACTCTGTAGAGCTGCTGAGGCACTCTGAGGATATCTGAGGAGGAGGGGGAAGAGAAAGAGAAGAAGGGGAGGAAAAGGAACAAGAAGAAGAACAGAGGCAGATGGAATTCAAAGTGGGGAGAAGAATGTAGAATAAACAGAGTATTTAAGTAGATGGAGAATTACTTTCATTAAATATTGAGTGGCACTGTTGTGACCCCTACTGTGTGGAGTGGCACCGTTGAGACCCCCACTGTGTGGAGTGGCACCGTTGTGACCCCCACTGTGTGGAGTGGCACTGTTGTGACCCCCCACTGTGTGGAGTGGCACTGTTGTGACCCCCACTGTGTGGAGTGGCACCGTTGTGACCTCCCACTGTGTGGAGTGGCACTGTTGTGACCCCCACTGTGTGGAGTGGCACTGTTGTGACCCCCACTGTTTGGAGTGGCACCGTTGTGACCCCCACTGTGTGGAGTGGCACTGTTGTGACCCCCACTGTGTGGAGTGGCACTGTTGTGACCCCCACTGTGTGGAGTGGCACTGTTGTGACCCCCACTGTGTGGAGTGGCACCGTTGTGACCCCCACTGTGTGGAGTGGCACTGTTGTGACCCCCACTGTGTGGAGTGGCACTGTTGTGACCCCCACTGTGTGGAGTGGCACTGTTGTGACCCCCACTGTGTGGAGTGGCACCGTTGTGACCCCCACTGTGTGGAGTGGCACTGTTGTGACCCCCACTGTGTGGAGTGGCACTGTTGTGACCCCCACTGTGTGGAGTGGCACTGTTGTGACCCCCACTGTGTGGAGTGGCACCGTTGTGACCCCCACTGTGTGGAGTGGCACCGTTGTGACCCCCACTGTGTGGAGTGGCACCGTTGTGACCCCCACTGTGTGGAGTGGCACCGTTGAGACCCCCACTGTGTGGAGTGGCACTGTTGTGACCCCCACTGTGTGGAGTGGCACTGTTGTGACCCCTACTGTGTGGAGTGGCACCGTTGAGACCCCCACTGTGTGGAGTGGCACTGTTGTGACCCCCACTGTTTGGAGTGGCACCGTTGTGACCCCCACTGTGTGGAGTGGCACTGTTGTGACCCCCACTGTGTGGAGTGGCACTGTTGTGACCCCCACTGTGTGGAGTGGCACTGTTGTGACCCCCACTGTGTGGAGTGGCACCGTTGTGACCCCCACTGTGTGGAGTGGCACTGTTGTGACCCCCACTGTGTGGAGTGGCACTGTTGTGACCCCCACTGTGTGGAGTGGCACTGTTGTGACCCCTACTGTGTGGAGTGGCACCGTTGAGACCCCCACTGTGTGGAGTGGCACTGTTGAGACCCCCACTGTGTGGAGTGGCACCGTTGTGACCCCCACTGTGTGGAGTGGCACCGTTGTGACCCCCACTGTGTGGAGTGGCACCGTTGAGACCCCCACTGTGTGGAGTGGCACCGTTGTGACCCCCACTGTGTGGAGTGGCACCGTTGTGACCCCCACTGTGTGGAGTGGCACCGTTGAGACCCCCACTGTGTGGAGTGGCACTGTTGTGACCCCCCACTGTGTGAAGTGGCACGATGCCTTTGAGCAAAATACCCCAGCAACCAGGATGGTAAACACACCAGAATCCCCTAATTAAGTCCCAACCTTGTTGCTGGTAATTGTCTTGACACGTGTTATTAAGTTCACGCGCTTGACGGCTCTCAGGGACATCAGGAGACATGCAGGGAACTCAGGCGGAGACTGAGTACCCAAATGAGCCACACAGATATCAGGAGACATACAGGAAACATAGGTGGAGACTGGGTACCCAAATGAGCCATACATGCATAAGAAGACATACAGGAAACACAGGTATAGACTGAGTACCCAAATGAGCCATACATACATAAGAAGACATACAGGAAACACAGGCGGAGACTGAGTACCCAAATGAGCCACACAGATATCAGGAGACATACAGGAAACACAGGCGGAGACTGAGTACCCAAATGAGCCACACCGATATCAGGAGACATACAGGAAACACAGGTGGAGACGGAATACCCAAATGAGCCATACATGCATAAGAAGACATACAGGAAACACAGGTATAGACTGAGTACCCAAATGAGCCATACATACATAAGAAGATATACAGGAAACACAGGCGGAGACTGAGTACCCAAATGAGCCACACAGATATCAGGAGACATACAGGAAACACAGGTGGAGACTGAGTACCCAAATGAGCCACGGAGACATTAGAAAGAATTGTTTGTGTCTCAGCAGTGAACAAATGGAAATATTAAGTAGCGAGGTGGTGGCGGGAGTCTATTCCCCCGTTTCTAAAGTCGATAGGATTGAGGCCAATAGACCAATAGAAATCTATTCACTAGTTGGTTGACGGTTGATAGGCCGAAGCTGAAACCTTGCAAGAATAATTAGGTGATAACCATTAAATGAGTGCATAACGCACGCACGCACGCACGCACACACACACACACACACACACACACACACACACACACACACACACACACACACACACACACACACACACACACACACACACACACACACACACATACACTCGTACACAAGCATACATTAAATAAGATTTTGCGACTCCAGGAGACAATCCTCTGGTCAGTAAACTTTATGATATCGTCTCCCAAGTCAGGCTGGTTTAAGAGGTGTCAGTAAGGTGATCTAAAGTTTCCAATGATTTCTATCTGGAGTACAACTCAGTGCTTAATATTAGTAAAAGTGCAAGGTTCTGGCGTTTAATTTTCGATTATCATCAATGAAAATATTGGACATCAATGATCCTGCTACATGAGGATTTAATACACTGTTGTGTACTAAAGTCTACATGACGTTCTCACAGGGGTAGTAATTAGTGCATCATGCTTTGAAAAGTTCAGTTAATTAGTTAATTTTCCGTAAATCACATAAAAATTTCCAACTTTTCCCCAGAAAGCTTCGGCTTTGATTGCCGTTGTTTGTGTTAGATCTCACTGACTACAACACTGTACCTTTGTGTTAGATCCCACTGACTACAGCACTGTACCTTTGTGTTAGATCCCACTGACTACAACACTGTACCTTTGTGTTAGAGCTCACTGACTACAACACTGTACCTTTGTGTTAGATCCCACTGTCTACAACACTGTACCTTTGTGTTAGATCCCACTGACTAAAACAATGTACCTTTGTGTTAGATCCCACTGACTACAACAATGTACCTTTGTGTTAGATCCCACTGACTACAACAATGTACCTTTGTGTTAGATCCCACTGACTACAACAATGTACCTTTGTGTTAGATCCCACTGACTACAACAATGTACCTTTGTGTTAGATCCCACTGACTACAACACTGTACCTTTGTGTTAGATCCCACTGACTACAACACTGTACCTTTGTGTTAGATCCCACTGACTACAACAATGTACCTTTGTGTTAGATCCCACTGACTACAACACTGTACCTTTGTGTTAGATCCCACTGACTACAACACTGTACCTTTGTGATAGATCCCACTGACTACAACACTGTACCTTTGTGTTAGATCCCACTGACTACAACACTGTACCTTTGTGTTAGATCCCACTGACTACAACACTGTACCTTTGTGTTAGATCCCACTGACTCCAACAATGTACCTTTGTGTTAGATCCCACTGACTACAACACTGTACCTTTGTGTTAGATCCCACTGACTACAACACTGTACCTTTGTGTTAGATCCTACTGACTACAACACTGTACCTTTGTGTTAGATCCCACTGACTACAACACTGACCTTTGTGTTAGATCCCACTGACTACAACACTGTACCTTTGTGTTAGATCCCACTGACTACAACACTGTACCTTTGTGTTAGATCCCACTGACTACAACACTGTACCTTTGTGTTAGATCCCACTGACTACAACACTGTACCTTTGTGTTAGATCCCACTGACTACAACACTGTACCTTTGTGTTAGATCCCACTGACTACAATACTGTACCTTTGTGTTAGATCCCACTGACTACAACACTGTACCTTTGTGTTAGATCTCACTAACTACAATACTGTATTTTCACTCGTGCCAAGATTCTTGTTCATTTAGTAGGTTTCTAGAGTAATAGATCTAAAACGTTTGTATTTTCTCTGTATTCTCTATAAGGGGTCCCGGTAGTACAGTCGGATTCGTTCTCGACGCACAATCGAGAATACCGGGTTAAAATTCCAGGTGGAAAATGGTTGGGCGCATTTTCTTTCACCTAATGCATCTGTTCACTAAACAGCAAGTAGGTACTCAAGAGTTAGTGATGGAGAGGGTCAGTAATTTGACCCTAGGGATGGGGAGGAAACCTCGATATAAGCCTAAAGTGTATGAATACACTCTGGCTTCATGTCCCCCGACAGAGTGAATTATTATCATTAATTATTATCTATTTCACGTTCATTGAAACTAAATATATAATTCTCTTCTAGATGCTTCGCAAAACTTATGATGTGTTTCTTTCAAAGATCTTCCCAATAACTTTCAGAAGGGAGATTAGCCTTTAGGTCTTAATGGATGTCTAAGTTTTCTCTCCTTCCCTCTCAGTGGATAGATACGACCTTCTTCAAGATTACTGGCCAAGTTTGCCTGTCGCTCGTGAACTTGCAAGATGGCTGCAAGTTGCCTCGCTAAAGCTTTCAAGGATGAAGAGGTTAGTCTTCTTTTAGATCTCTGTTTGGAGAAGTCAATTTTGTTTTCTCTTAATTATTTTATAATGCCGCAGGTAAACACTCGGGCCTTGGTAATGGGAGGAAACACTGGGCCAACCTTTCCTCTGGCCTGGCTCGTTAAAGCGGAGGCCGACACCTGAGACGTCTTCATCAATTTGAATGAATTTTGCATTAAAATAGTTTGTTTATCATATATAAATTAATATTATTATATACTAGAGTTCCGTGTATTGCTAGGCCTAGGTTAGGTTAGGTGTTGAGGTTCTGTTGGCGATTATTTGTAATTGAAGTTCGTGGGTGAATAATTTTCAGGAGTTGCGATTCGAACGAAGATCGTCAGCGTAGCACTGCTCATGAAATTTTCCAACACCATCTGTTGTAAGTCGTTTGTAAACCCTTTTCTCATTCGTAAATAGAAGGTTCGGAGGCTGGATCAATGAGCATTTGGCCTTTGTTGATGAGACTGGACCACAGTGGGAGTGTTGAATGCTTCATTCAGTGAGCCACACCTCTCGTTCCTGCCATCCTCGTCACACTAGTGGCTACACAGTCATCGATCCTGCTAGTTGTTTTCCATTAAAACTACTTCAATTAAAATAAAAATAAATCATTTTTAAAATAAAACAAATTGTTGTAAATTGTAAAACATTCTGTTTAATCTGATTGATTAAATCTCATGCCAGTCCTGGCTGCTTTTATATTATGCAGCGCCAACCTTTTGCTGCCAACGCTCCATCCCAGTGTGTAATTATGTAGTCCTTCTGCCGTCTGTAATTGTCAGTCTTTTTCGCTGGGTTTTTCTAGCTGGCGAAAAAGGATTTTGTCTCCATAAACTGTAAGTCTCTTTAAACAATTTCGTGTTCGTGACTTTTAGAACTGTCATCAGCAACCATTTAACACTGATACCCAGGCGAGGGTAATTGACCTGACTTGCATATGTAGACACTTTTTTTTAAGACTGAAAGTTGTTTTGAAGTTTTAACCCGGGCCTAATTAATGTATGCAAAAATTGCAATTGATGTATGCCAAAAACTCCCACAATTTGTATTCTGAAATGGGACTCAGCCTCTGCCAGTCCCACTTGACACAGTTCCGGTGTATTTAGTGTATTGGTGTGTGTATTTAGTGTGCATTGGTGTATTTAGTACCGGTGTTATACTTTAAACACTTCTCCAATGTTTTGTTTTCTAATATTTTTCATGTATGTTCATGTCAGGAGATACGAATGAGGGCTACAAGACTGTATGTTTGTCGGTGGATATACGAGGTAAGGTGAACAGTTGTATGAGTGGAACAACAACAGGCACTGCTGAGCAGGAGTGAGTAAGGGGAATTATGAATCATACGGCATACATTACGAACCCTGGCTCATACGTCATACATTACGAACCCTGACTCATACGGCATACATTACGAACCCTGGCTCATATGTCATTCATTACGAACCCTGAATCATACGTCATACATTACGAACCCTGGCTCATACGTCATACATTACGAACCCTGACTCATACGTCATACATTACGAACCCTGGCTCATACGTCATACATTACGAACCCTGACTCATACGTCATACATTACGAACCCTGACTCATACGTCATACATTACGAACCCTGGCTCATACGTCATACATTACGAACCCTGACTCATATGTCATACATTACGAACCCTGACTCATATGTCATACATTACGAACCCTGACTCATACGTCATACATTACGAACCCTGACTCATACGTCATACATTACGAACCCTGGCTCATATGTCATTCATTACGAACCCTGACTCATACGTCATACATTACGAACCCTGACTCATACGTCATTCATTACGAACCCTGAATCATACGTCATTCATTACGAACCCTGACTCATACGTCATACATTACGAACCCTGACTCATACGTCATACATTACGAACCCTGACTCATACGTCATTCATTACGAACCCTGAATCATACGTCATTCATTACGAACCCTGACTCATACGTCATACATTACGAACCCTGACTCATA